ACTGGAATACCGATTGCCAGGAAGCCTTCGAGAAGCTCAAATATAGCTTCACTCATGCTCCTGTTCTAGCACATTAGGAACCAAACCGACATTTAATCGTGGAGACAGACACCTCGGATTACGCATTAGCTGCAATCCTCTTGATCCTATTACCTGATGGAGAAATTCACCCCATCGCGTTCCTCTCGAGGACTTTTCAGGCTGCGGAACTCAACTACGACACTCACGATAAGGAGCTTCTCGCGATCTTCGAAGCATTCAAAGGCTGGCGACATTACCTCAAAGGATCGGGAGACCCTATCGACATCGTTACCGATCACAAGAATCTCGAATACTTCTTGATGACAAAAATCCTTACGTGACAACAAGTTCGTTGGTCCGAGTACCTGCACCAATTTAACATGGTGATCTGATTCAGACCAGGTAAGTTAGGTGAAAAACCTGATTCAATGACTAGACGCTGGGACGTCTATCCAAAAGAGGGGATATCGGCTATGCACAAGTTAACCCACATAACTTCAGACCCATTTTCACTAATGAACAACTAACTACTTCCCTTCAAGCTACGTTCCTAGAAGGACCAGCACTTCGTGCCTCCATTGTTATGGATTTAGAGGCACTCCATTCCGCTATTCGCGATTCAATCGAACTGGATCCGGAATCAATCGCGGGATTGAAGTTTGTGAAGGACGGTACGAACACTCGTTGGTCATTAGGGTCTGATGGATTGTTACGACTTGATGATCGCATTTACGTTCCTAACCTTTCTAATTTACGACTTCAAATTTTACGCTATTTTCACGACCATCCACTCTCAGGTCATTTTGGTCAAAATTGGACTCTGGAAGCCATTCGATGACAATACACTTGGCCAAAGGTTCGCGATTATATTAATTCGTGTACGGTTTGCAGATGCAACAAACCTCATTGACATAGGCCTTACAGTCTACTCAAACCACTTCCAGTTCCCATCTGACCTTGGGATTCTATATTGATGGACTTCATCAAACAACTACCGGACTCTAAAGGACATACAGCTATTCTAGTAATCGCGGATCGAGCCTCAAAACAAGGTATATTCATCGCGACACATGACAAAATAACGTCTGAAGAGCTTGCGGAGTTGTTCGTCCATCACGTTTTCTCGAAACACGGAGTTCCTAGTCACGTCACTTCTGATCGAGGCTCGGAATTTGTTTCGGCTTTCTTTCGCACTTTAGGGGAAGCTCTCTCAATCAAACTACACTTCACCTCGGGATACCATCTTGAGGGGGATGGACAAACGGAACGAGTTAACCAGACATTGGAACAATACATTCATATGTATTGTGTGTATCAACAGGACGATTGGGCAAAGCTTCTGCCTATTGCAGAATTTGCGTACAACAACACTCCTAACGCTTCTACTGGTATTACTCCATTCTTCGCGAATAAAGGTTATCACCCTAACATTACAGTGAAACCTGAAATCGACATCCGTTCTGATCACACGATTGACTTCGCGATGAATTTAGATGAGATTCATTCTTTCCTCCGCGAAGAAATTACTAATGCGCAAACTCGATACAAAGAGCAAGCGGACAGAAAACGTATTACTCATCCCAATTTTCCCATTGATTCACAGGTATTTGTATTAGCAAAGCACATAAAAACCACTCGACCTACCGCAAAGTTCTCCGAGAAGTACCTCGGACCTTTCAAAGTTCTTGAGCACATAGGAACTCTTTCGTACAAGTTACAACTTCCTTCCTACCTCAGTCGTATCCACCCAGTTTTCCATGTATCCCAACTCGAACCTTATACTCCGAACTTGATCCCTCATCGTGAACAAACTCCTCCACCTCCGGTGGAAGTCGAAGGCGAAGAGGAATACAATGTTGCGGAGGTATTGGATTCAAAATTGGATTGTCAATACAAAAAATGTCCACTACGGTATTACATCTGGTGGGCAGGATATGAAGGTACAGATGAAGAGTTTTCCTGGGTTGCTGCGAATGAAATTCACGCGGACGAGCTGGTTCCAGCTTTCCATCTTCGTCACCCTCACAAACCTGGACCATTATGATCAACGACCACTTAATTTCTTCTATTCATGCATTGGAAATACTAATTTTTATTCTACTAGTTAAAAAACTCATCGCAAAACCTCCGCAATCCATCACCATTACATTCTGTTCTACATATTACATTAGCTACTAAATTTCAAACCTTCACGTCAAGAAGTTTCGTGATTCATCCTTCGCCAAACTAACTTCGAACTCTCACATTTCCTTCCTTCCGAAACCATTGTGATTCTTCCTCGCGGAACAAATCTTAACTCCTTACACTTATTCATCAAACAAAACTTTACGTATTCAAAACCACCAAAAAAGGCAAAAAACTTATAACATTATACAAAACAAAAACAAACAAAAACCAAAACAACAGACAACAAAAAACCAATAAAGAACTATTACAAAATTAGATAGAAAATATTTACAAGTCCAAAAAAACTACTGTAACTTCGCGGAAATTAGCCCATTGTTTTCCTTCGTTTCCTTTCTTCCTCGTCTTCTTCATCTTCATCATTTTCATCTCCCTCTTCTTCATCGTCCTCCTCTTCCTCAATGACTTTGTTGCCAGGTTGCTGCTGCACAATACGAACCAACTCTTCCATCGCAAAGGCTGCTTGACTCGCGAACCCGAGGAGAGTGCTCATCTGCCTCTTCAGGGCTTTGTTCTGCTCCGCAAGCAGATCCAATTTTACTCCCCACTCAGCACCTACAATACTCCTTTCCGCTACGTGCCTCGTGGGACCCTCGTACAGACCATTTTCATCAACCCTCGGCTTCTTCTTCCTGGATCTTCGGGCTGCATTATCCCCTGCCCAGCTACACCTCTGTCGTTGGAGGTGACAGGCCAGACAGGCCTGAGTCCGGGGTTTCCCGGGTTGCGTGATGCAGTTCAAAGTGTTTCCTTGGGAAACACAGCAAACACATCCTTCGCGATTACGCGAAGGCGTGGGAGGAGGTATGTCATCAGGGTCGTTGTCGTTGTCATTGTCATCTCCATCATCGGGGTCCGGAGCTGAACCAACCTGTGTTTGTCTTAATCAGTAAAACACATCGCGAAGAAACCAACTTAATTACTTGAGGAATCAACCTTTTCCTTTTCAAAATTGGTATCTCGACATCCAGGGTATCATGAACCACGGAGGCCAACTTGTAAATTTTTTGTTTTGAGCCCGAAGGCTCCCGCGAGCTTCTCATGGTTCCAGTTCTTCGTGATGCAGCACGAGCTGCATGCTCTCGACATTCTTGTAACTCACTCAGGGCTTGAGCCCTACGACGATCTCGGTTGGCTTCTTCTTCAGCCAACTTCTTCAAAGCGTCGGCTTTCGCCTTCGCGATACTCTCCTCGACAAGTCTCTCTTCTTCCTGCTTCTTTGCGGCCTGTTTCTCCTCCTTGAGCCTTCTTTCTTCCTCGAGTCTCCGCATCTCCGCCTCATGAGCAGCTTCTTCCTCCAATCTAACCATCTCCTCCTCGAAGGTGGCTTCTTGAGCATCAATCTCGAGTTGACGGAGGCGGGCTCGTTCCGCCTGTTCACGAACGAGGCGCGCTCGTCGTTCTTGCACTGTTTTGGTGGCTGTGACGGTAAAAGACATCATAGAGTGATGAGGACTTAGGAAAAAACAAAGAAATTCCTCGCATTTTATACGCATTCTTTTGTTGAGGGCAGGTTCGACTCTAAATTTTTCATTTACCTCAATCATAACTTGCGTGGCACTTTGAAAATTTACTTTTCTTTTTTACTTTTCCATTTTATCTAATTTTAGATTTGTCAATCATTAACAATCGCGTAGGCTTTTGAGGGCAAAAGCCTAAGAGGGGGATACTGTTATATCTATGCAAGCTAAGTCTTTATGAGGCTTCGCGATCCATTCCGCTACTTAGATATTACTTATATCCTTTTACCACTATGCAATTACTTCACGAAGGAATTCCGACACGAAGCAATTACTCGTTATCTCTTATCATCCTTATTGGATTTACACTATCCCTTTTATATCTCTTCCTTTGTTCTTGACTTACGAGCTAACCCATTTGGGCATGGCATGGCTTCGCGATCCTGACTTACCTTTAGTATAAAGCTACGGTATTGAATAGGTAGTTCTTCAGTTTAAATATCAACCTTGATAGCACTTCGATAGTGATACCAATTAATCCTCTCTATCTGTATCATCATTTTAAACATCCTCGTTGTCAGTATGTTCCGCGATAATCATCGCGAATGGAACACGTTTACCTTTCTTCTCTTGTGGACACGCGAAGTGTCGAGGACTCTACTAATAGTGGAGTCAAGGTCCAACTACTTAGTCTAGGATCGTTTTACCTCGCGAAGTAATTTACTTCATATTTCCCCGTGATCATTCCTGACGATCCCTTTGTGCATGATCATAACAATACTCATGATACTGATACCATCTAATCAACAACTATCTGTAGTATCATTTTAACATCTCTCTTGTTAGTACATTTGGCAAAGGTCATTGCAAACAGAACACTACTTTACTTCTTTCTCTTTGGACAAGTGATGTGTAAAGGACTCCATTAATAGTGGAGTCAAGGTCCAACTAACCTGTGGATTGTTTTCCTTTCACAAAAGATTGAACCTTTGCATAGTCACCCTTCTGTGATTATCTTTGCAATTTTAATTTGACAATCCCTACTTGCATGATCATAACAATTAGATTTGGAGCTAGAGCTAGAGCCAAAGTTGTTTTGAATAATATAATCAAACATTCTCTATGTTCTACTTCGTTCAGACAGGGGGTGAGCGTTGATTAAACCAATTGGCTGAATTGTTCCCCTCTGTCCTAGCCAAGGGGTCAGTATGCATGGTATGTATCATGTCTTGCTAGGGTGCTGCTAGGGTTGGTATGTATATCTTGCTGCAAGGGTCACTTATCCCTGTGTACCATACATAATCCTTTTAAAACCAAAAACAAACAAAGAGGACAAGGTCTAACCAGGACTTGAACCTGGGTTACGGGAAGTAGTATTGTATTGTATCAAAATCCCGTGTGATGACCTCTACACTATTAGACCTGTGGGAGTAGTGGTTGGGTTGTGGGTGGGTGGATAAATAATAATTGCAAGAGGAAAAAGATATCATCTCTTCGGTTGAGTTGCGCTGCCACTGGAGACCAGACTATCATAGGTGGGTGGAATTTCATCTACTTGACCAGCATCTTGATGTACGGTAACATGTGATTTAGTAGCAGGATTAAACCCATCGTCAGGGTTGGCTACGTTGAATCTCAGAGGGGCACTAGCACCGCCACCTGTTTGTTGTTGTTGATGTGGATTGGGTAAGGGATCGAAAGGGGAATTACCATAAGCGGCAGCATATACTGATGCAGGTATACCAGAATTGGAGTGACTGGAATTGGAAATAGCTTGGCTTTGTGATGACGGGTGTTGGAGAGGAGTGATGGTTGGATTATGTAATGGATAAGGAGCAACGATTCCAGCGCCGAGAGTTGATCCAGCCAACCTGCCACCCATCCCATCGTCTTCTTCTCGAACATTAGGTAACGTGGGTCCAACCTTCCCAGGATCAAAATTCCCATCGAATCCCATATCCACTGATTTTTGTTTTCTCCACCATCTGAGTGTTACCACGAGTAGCAGGATGAGTACAGCGGCTCCACCGACTGATCCACCAACTATAGCTCCTGTGTGCGAAGTCGAGGAGGAGGAGGAGGAGGAGGAGGAAGAAGTCACGGTAGCTCCAGGTGCCACGACAGTAGCCGTTTGAATTACAGTCGTATACACTTGTCCGTCGGCAGAGGTAGCTATAACTGTCGTAGCTACAGATGTAGTCAACGATGATGTCGATGATATCGAGGAAGAGGAAGTGCTTGTCCTATTGGTGTTCGTTGAACTCGAACTAGTCGATGTACTGCTCGTACTAGTGCTCGTCGACGAAGGCGATGTACTGCTGCTACTAGTGCTCGTCGATGAAGTCGATGTACTGCTAGTGCTCGTCGTACTAGAGCCCGTCGAAGATAACACAGACGCAGAAATAGAACTCGCAGGCCCTGCACTCGACATCGTTCTTGGTGATGGGTTACAACTGCAACTTGTAGGTTGTGGTTGTAGGCTGTGTTTGCTTTAGTTTATTTCACATAATCTTGGCACGGCTTTCTCAACGCCGTTTCCCACGGGGACAGCACCACAACCACAAGACCACAAGTAGTGCTTGTATCCCTGTATCACGTTTCAACACACCTTTTCACCCTCACCTACTCCCCACCCCTTTCACCCAGTACGGTCTAATAGTGTAGAGGTCATCACACGGGATTTTGATCTTACAATAACAATCCAATTTCCCGTAACCCAGGTTCGAGTCCTGGTTAGACCTACTTTTTTCGGTTTTTTTTTTTGACTTTTTGTACCCCCAGAATCCCCAGGTATATTCTTATTTAGACATACATATACATACCATCCCCACTTTTAGGTCTACAACCCTAAACATATCTACACTTTCTTGTAATATACCTCTGCTATGTAGCTTATTGTTCATTGTTCATTGCTCATTGCTTGCCTATTATCTCTGTTGTTTCTTATCCTCTTTATTCTCTATCTCTATTCTGATCAAAAAAAAGAGAAGAAAACCCTAGTGTCCAATCCAATCCAATGTAATTAGGAATGAGGAATGAGGGAGTTGTACTATCTCTCTTGTTTTTGGAGCAGCTATCAAGGAAATTAGTGTGATATTAATTCAGTAGCAGTATATATCTGATTTTTTTGTTTTGGTTACAACATCTTTGGTTCTCATTTAGACATGACTTATGAAAAAAGTTCAGATTAATGCAGCCTTCGATGGTGGTGTATCTCACTGTCCACAATAACCTTTCATTTTTCATTCCCAACAAGTCTCAAAAGAGATCAACATATACGCATATGCGAGACAGACAGAGAATAACAAAATGTGTGTCTACTCTGCAGTAGTGTTCAACCTAAGTGTGTTAAGAATCTTCCGATTTGACTTCTTCCTTCACGCCGTATTTAGACGTATCTACGCCGTGATGGGGGTGGTTGACAAAGTTGAACCTGTAGGATAGGAGAAGGGAAAGTAAAGTAGGAAGTTGATAAAGAGGTTGGTATTTGATAGGACAGTTAGAGGAATTGGTATGACGACGCACATCGGAAAAGCAGCTAAATGTAATTTAATTATGAGTGGATGATCACACCGGGGTCAAATAGATGGTCAAGATAATGAAGGTATAAACGAGGGAGGACCTACAGAATTTGAGTTGTGAGAAAACAGAATTCCGATGAGCAGCACCCTGCACCCAAGGAGATTGATGTGATTCTCCATAAAGCGGTTTACCCTCCTTCGCTCGTTGAGAAAGTTCTTCAAAATCCATCTCTTCTTCCCGTTTGTTCTCTGTCCATCCGTAGAAACGCACTGAATAAAAGTATATTAGGATTGATTGTAGATTTAATCATATGATGATAGGCAATGAAAACGAACGTACTACTGGAATTCTGATACGCCAACAAAAAACCACCACAGAACCCAAGAAACGCAGCGACTTTCATACCCGTCACCATCCTCCTCGTAACAATCTGAATCGCGTTCCCCATGGCCATTCTACCAGAAGGTAGTTTTTCGCCTGGAGCGAGGTTTATTCGGTTAATCTTGAGTCCATTCGGGTCTGCTATTTCTATGGTAGAAAAAGAGTTAAATGGATTGCAAGAAAAACAAAAAACAAAGATGAAAACGTAAATGTACTCACCCCAGGCTAATAAAGCACTAGGAACAGCGATAGTTGTAGCTGCCCACTTGGCATAGTCGCTAGCTCGGAAGTATCGAACGACACGAGAGAAATGAGGATCAATGTCAAGCACGGGATATGGTGTCTCCAAAACCTTTTCAGGCATGACTGGAGGAGCTTGAGTGAGTCTTAGTTTACAGTAGCCGGGGTTGGAGAAAGTGTTGGAGAAATAATGTGACTAACCGTGTGACTGTCACCAGGCCCGGGTGTACCGCGCTTACTCAGCGGCAGCCTAAACTCACTTGGTGCGCCTTGTGTTTTTCTTATTCTTGTTCTTGCTCTTGTTCTATCACAAGCACACCACTACTAACAATCTTGCCTTGCTTTGAGCAACGCAACGCGAGCAACGATGAGCGGACCCATTCGTCGTGACAGTAGGAATCTCGCGCGCTCGCAGATCGCGTCGCCCTATGGACGTCTGGGGAGTAGGAAATCGGCGGGGGTAAGTTAACTATCACCGTTGTTTTCCCTTGATTTTTTTCATCTAACTTTCGTTTGTGCTATCTTAGGTGCAGCCTTGGTCCATCTCTAATATCATCCACTATTTCAACCCTCTACGCCTGATGTACCCGGCTGAACAACCAGTTTCCAAACCATCAGATACTAGTGGAAAGGAGGATGCCAACCAGGCAGCAGCAGCGGAGTCACTGGCTTCGAGAGGTCATCAGGTATGATTGCTTACATCTAAACATTTCCTGAACGATGGGGTCAGGAAATTCTTATACATGCCCAAATTGACTGTTCAAAAAATATAGATTTCTAGTTCTCTAGACGCGAAGAAACAATCGTCTCCTCTTGCATCCACATCTTCTGAAACCGTTAACCCCCCTCCTCCTTCAATCAGCTCTGTAACGTCCTCTATATCCCCAATGAACGGGCATGATGATGTCAGCCCGGAGTCACCGCAGAAAGGGTTAGATTATCTTTCGAGGTATCTTGGTGAACGTCCAAAAGACGAACCACTTAGCTCGATAGAAGCTGAAGAACTTATTTCTATAATTAAGAAAAGTACACCCGGTAAAGTTGTTTTTTCCTTCTTTGATCTATCCTTTTGGTGAATAGCTAACTCACTCACTTCGTTCGTTTGTTCGCTTCACAGTGGAGGAGCATGAAACTTTCCAATTTTCGAGGAATAATCCATCTACACCTCTCAGAGGCAACTCTCCTCTGTTCACCTCAACCAACACCAACACTATACCATTCTCATTCTCCCCGTCATACATCAATGCACCATTTACCCCCAATTCCAATCCTTCCCCAAGCAAACTCCTCAAGCAGAACCCCAATGGTTCATATCGATGGGAAGGCGGTGGTAGCGCGAAATACGGACGTTCACGGAATCGATACCAATCGCCTGCGTTTGGCTCCACACCACGGTCTTACGGAGGTCGGCTTGTTCTACGAGAAAGTCCCGAGAAGGCTGCTGGGCCTATTAAAACTGATACGAAGAGAAGACGGATTGGTGAAGAGGTTTCGACTGCATCTTCGTCTTTTCCTCCAAGTGGCAACAACAGCGCTTTAACACCACTCATTCGTTCACCAGCTCCGGCACCTTCGCCAACTAGAGCAGCAGAAGCATTGCGTTTTCCTACCTCCACCCCGAGTCGAGTGTCTTCTTCATCTCAAACCAATCCTGTTGTCACTGTCGGCAATGGCAATGGTAATGAGTTGAAAACCCCGTCTGTCAACGGTATGAAATCCTCAACATCGATCTCTCGTTTACGAGCTCCTATAAAACCTACTACACCCGTTGTTCCTTCTCCTTTGCGTCAAGCCTGGGGACAATCGCCGTCGTCTCCTACTCCTTCGTCCAAATCATCCGATGATGGACATTCTCAGGCAACAAAAGCCGCAAGTTATATCAGCGAGTTGATCAAGGAGGTGACACCAGTGAGAAATTTGGATGTGAGTAATCCATATCAGGCTGCGAGTCCGGTAAAGAGGAGTAAGAGTTCGAAACCTAAACCTAAGCCTGCGAGGAGGACCAGGGCTTCAGGTAGACCTTCTGCCCCACCGGAGAGTTTGGTGGTTAATGGGAATGGGAAGGTGGATGATGGGAAAGAGAAGGAGAAGGAAGAGAAGGAGAAGGATAAAGAAAAGGACAGAGACGTGCTGGAAAAATATTCTGCTCAAGCTATCATTCAGGCTACCTTGCCCAAGGTCCGCGGTCACGTAATTCTCTGATCGTTGTATGAAGCTAATCTTATCGTACCTGAATAGGGAAGCAAACGTTCTCGAGCACCGGTCAATATCGGCAAAGGA